TGCTGCTGGGTGTAACCAAAGGGCTCAGTAACGTATTCCCCTCCTTCCTTTGGTAGCAAAAGTTTAGAGCTTGATGTTTAACCAAAAGCTGTTTCAAAGTGTTTTCAAGAGTATTCTTGAAGATCCCTTCATAAGAAACGACCTAAACAAAATTACGATTACAAAAAAATTGGGTGGAGAAAAAAAATCAAAATCGAACTAAAAAAGCGGAGAAGCCCTTACGTCGTGGAATGCAGCGATGCCTAAAAAATAACTCAGCAAAAAATTCGATTTCTTCACGGATCAATAATTTTTATTTGCACTAGTGACATAAAAGTTCACAAAATCACATGCATATGTATAGTATATTTTTAGCTCTTACATACATATATGTATGTCCGGCTTTTTCCACATTTAAAAAACCGTCACCAACAAAACGTAGGAAATTCACACGAAATACAAAAAAAAAAAACAAAAAAAAAATTACTACATGGTAGGTATGTAAATATGTATATGCATATATAACATACAAATATATAAAATCAGGTAAAGGTGAAAATATTCAAATTAAGAACAAGCCTACTTGTACCTGCCGCCATTCGCCACCGCTAAGTGAGCTGAGTGCTATTTGTGACTTGTGACTTGCGACTCATGACTACTCTCCTCCGTACACCATATGTAGGTATGTTTTTTTTTATTGCATATATACATATGTATACTTGTATGTATGCATGTTAGTGTGCAAGTGTGTCTAGTGCGACTGGTCAAATGTGTTTCTTCACTATCGAATAGCTACCGGTTTACACGGTCGTTACGCTTCATTATGCCATCGATCGTCAGTTAAATGTAAAAGAAACTACACAAACAAATACACATACACATGAGTGTGTCTGTACATACATTAGTATATGGCATAACATATACATATATATATATATATATATATACATATATATATATATAGTCATATAAACATCAAGAGATTATATCGAAGGTACATATCTTCTAGTCGCGTGTGCGAGTTTCTTAAGCCAAATTTCTTCGTAACTACCGACTATTGGACTACTGGACTACAACAACGGAGTGAACTGTGGAGCGCTGCATGTGTTGGTTGATAGTTGGCGCATAGCCGCATGGTTGAGATGGGAATCGACGACGACGCTGATGGCTATAATCGCTTTATACCATCAGCGGATATTGGTTTGTGCGACAAAATACACCTGTTTGCTTGTGGTTAATTTTCATGCACATATGTATGTGAGTATGTATATCCATGACCAAATCGTTGGGACGCATTTTTTTATTCCTCTGCTCATTTAATTGGTGCATTCGAATTGGTATTCAATTGGATTTCGTTGCTTTAACTAGTCAAAAATTGCGCGCTTTGTTAATTACGGTGCAGAGTTGTTGCAATTTCAGCGGTAATCATGCAGACATACATATTATGTTGTATATACATACATATATACAAATGTGCTTGAAGCAATAATTGCTGAAAATGATATATTTTTAGATGATAGTTGCTTATGCGTACAACTTTTCATTAAAAGTCTAATCAAATACAATTCAATTATAAAAGAGGTAAAATTAAAACTAACTGTAAAACAGCATTCCGAAATTATGCAACAGTTGGTATGCAGAAAGTCCAAAATATTGTACGTTTATTTTTCAGCATCTGTGTATTAAATTTTAATAAAAAACGATTTGGGGAATTAATTTTAATTGATTTAAACTTATTTTATTATATTTATTTGATTTTTTATTCAATGCATTTTAATTTTATTTATATTAAAATAATTTAATTTAATATCAAATAATTTTTTTTCAGTACAATTGTTTAATTTCATTTAATTTTACATTATTCTATTTTAATTAATTAATTTATTTTAAATAATTTTATTTGATTAATTTTAAATTATTTTATTTATTTTATTTTTTGTAAGGGGTTACATAGGTCTTGAAGGCCAAAAAAAGCTTATTTTCTCCAATTTTTTTAAAATACACTAAATATAGCATACAATTTATTTTATTTACATTTAAAAGCATAATATGTGGACAACATGTGATGAAAATTTGAATGAGAAATAGTATAAAATGAGGCGTTGGCAATGTCGTGAAGTAGACCGTCCACAAGAAAGTGCTTTCGCGGTAGTCATGATAACTTTTTCAATTTTTATCTGAATTTTATCTTATTTTATTTATTTTTTTTTTTTATTTTATATTATTCTATTTTGAAATACGTCTTTTGTTTCATTTCATTTAATCTTCTCTTAGTTAAATTTTTTAATATAATATTATTTAATTTTTTTTTTATGTAATTCTGTTTCATTTCATTTTATTTTTTATTTTATTTTAATTTTAATTTTATTTTAATTTTTATTTTATTTTGTTCCACTTAACTTTTTTACACTTGATATTATTTTATTTTATTTATTGTGCTTTAAATTTCTATTTATTCTTTTATTTACATTTTGTCACATTTTATTTCGTTTTGTTGTAAAAAATAATAATAGTTTTTGGTTTTATATTATTTTTTATAATTAAAATTATTTATATTATTACATTTCGTCTTGTTTTATTTTATTTATAGGTTTCTACTTTATTTTGAAATACTTTTCTTGTTTTATTTCATTTCAATTTATTTTATTTATTTTTTTTTTTAATTTAATTTGATTTTATTTTAATTATTTTTATTTAATTCAATTTTATTTGTAATTTTTTAATTTTTTTATTATATTACTTTATTTTATTTAATATATTTTAATTTAATTTTATTGTTTTTTTAATTATTTTTTTTTTCATTATACTTTATATTATTTTATTTACTGTGTTTTAATTTTATTTTATATTTATTTCCTTTATATTTGATAATTTCATTTTGTTTTAGAATATAATTATTATTTTTTTTATTTTATATATATTATTATAGTTTAAACTATTTGTTTGTTTATGTTTTATCTTATTTTTCTTTACAATAGTTTACTTAATTTAATATTATGTTATTTCTTTATTTTGTGCTATTTAATTTTAATTTAATTTTTTATTTAATTTTTTTCATTTTACTTATGTTTTTTTTTTGCCTTTATGTTTTATTATTATCTTACTATATTTAATTTTATTTAATTTTTTGGTATTTTATTTTGTACTAATTTATTTATTTAATGTTTTATTTTTTTCATTTTACTTACTTTTATGATTTTTTTGCTATCATGATTTATTATTATTTTAATATTTTATTATATTTAATTTAATTAAGTATTTTGGTATTTTATTTTGTATATTAGTAATTTTATTCTAATTTATTTATTTAATGATTTTTTTTTATTTTACGTTGATTATTATTTTTCATTCTTTATTATTTTATTTTATGTGATTTTATTAAACACGTTTTAATTTTATTTGATTTTCATTTATATTATAGCACTAAATTTAGTTTATTTTAATATTACTCCATTTTACTATATTTTTTCAATTGATTTATATTATTTATATTTAATAAATTTGGTCGTAAATTATTTAATTTTTTTTAATGGTATTTGGTTTTTTTTTATTTATTTATTTGTTATTTTAATATTATTTAACATTTTTTAATTTAATTTAATAGTATGCTATTTTTTTATTTGGTTTTGCTTTCTTTTAATTTGTGTTAATTTTTTTATTTTTTTTATTTATTTTTATTTGTAAATTTTTATTTTTCTTTCCTGTGTTGTTTTTATATTTTTCTATTATTCTATCTTATTTTATTTAATATATTTTAATTTAATTTTATTTTAATTTATTTTATGTTAATTTATTCTTTTTTTTGATTTATTTCAATTAGTCAATTGTTTTTTTTTTAATATTTTTTATTTCACTTACTTTTATATAATGTTTTCTCTACTTAATTTTATTATTATTTTAATATATTACTTATTTTTTTATTTGTTTTTTTTTTTTTTATTTTAAACAAACTTGTTTTTTTATTTTTTTTTTTGGAAATTTTTATTTTCCTTTTTGATTTATTTTAATTAGTTAATTGTTTTTTTTTTTAATTTTTAATTTCCTTTACTTATAAATAATTCGCTACTTAATTTTATGATTATTTTTATATGTTATATATTTTTTTATTTTAATTTTTTTAAACAAACTTTTTTTTTCATTTTTTTTATTTAATTTTTTTTTTGTAAATTTTTATTTTCCTTTTTGATTTATTTTAATAAGTTAATTGTTTTGTTTTTTTTTAATTTTTTAATTTAATTTTATTATTATTTTTATATGTTATTAATTTTTTTATATTATTTTTTTTAATAATTTTTTTTTTAATTTTTTCATTTTAATTTATATTGTTTGGTTTATTATTCAATTTAATCTTAATTCATTGTATTTTTTTTTTTGCATTTTGATTTTATTCAATTTCTTAGAATTTTATTATATATAATATAATATTATATTGTTTCACATATTATTTTTTTTTAATATTAGTTTTTTTATGCAACCTTTCTGCATGCTTTTGCTTAAATTCGACCTTCACCTGAGAAAGATTCCTAAGAATCGTGAGCAAAAGAAATGTAATTAATATTTCTAATGGAGCTGATGTTCTAATGTTGTTTACCTAACATTAATAATATTTTTTTTTTCAATGCGAAAGAATCTGCCACTTTTATTCCCATTTATACATACATATCCACATTTGGTTTCAAAAGCTGTCATTCAACATTCCTGGCTTTCTTAAATTCCATATTATTTGTTTGCTAACCATTTACGTCAAAATACCGGTAAGAATTCTATATTTATTGTTTTCTTATATTATTTATTTATATGTTTTTCACGACAACTTAGACACGACAAAAATCACTTTTGATTAACTAAAACGAAATTCATGGAAATGCGTGCCTTTTGTAGGACATTAGGGTGGGTTGCCTTGTTAAAATAACTTTACTCACAGCATAAGATCATTTATAATTTTACTTTATTGTTATTATATAAAAAAAAACCTTTAAAAATACTTTTACTAAATATATATAATATATTTTCAGGTTTCAATTAATGAAGAAAAAATGTCGCTGGATTTGGCTAAACAATAATATAAAAGTTTGGAATTCATCATCATAAAGAGTAGTCTGTAAGTATGCCATTATGTAATGTTCTGGTTACCAATATTAAATATAATTTAAATATAATTAATCAACATAACTAAATAATTTTTGCAATTAAAAATTTTAATATGAACTCCCTTTCGACCCTCACTAAAGTTCACTTACCTCCATATTTTTATTGTTGTCCAATGTAACACCTCTACACATACAAATAAATTCGTACACATGTATGTACCTATGTGTGGTGACGCAAAATTAATTATATCTGCTATAGAAATTCAAAATATTTATTTGCGGATTTCCCAAAAACCAAATCAAATCATTGAAATACAAGTAATCGATTAAAAGTCTCGGCTGCCGTTTGGCTAATATATTATTTTTATTAGTCTCTGGTGCCATAAATAAATATTTACTCGCTTGTGCATACATACGTGTATATGTATGTACATTTTTTTGACGTCACCTGTAACCAGTTATGTTGTTTGGGTGTAGATGGACATGTGAATATGTGTCTTGAATTCAATTTATGAATGTATGTATGTACGTGTCCATACATATATTTTGTTAAAATTTGTTTTGGAATGTTTTTATTTTTTAGTGTTTTAATTTTTTTTAAGAATTGTGATCATGAAAACAATTTTTATTAGAGCCTAAAAATTTTTGGTTTGCTTTTGTTTGTTTAAATGTTTTTTAAAATTATTATTTATTCATGAATTGGTACTTTTATATGGTTGAGTTTAGGCCGTCTTGGACCACAGCGTGGCGTGCTGTGGACGGCCTAAGTTTCTTTTTGAGCCAGCAGCGAATACCCAATAAGCAGGCTCTGACCAAGAGCAACAAGAGAAGAGGGTTCGGCTTAAAAGACCCGAAGAGGACCTGTGAATCTCCGTTAACGAGCTGAAATAAACCTCCACAACCCCCATGGGGCTGCCTCGAGGGTATATCTACTCATGAGAAGGTGGCAACAGAGCGATCTGGGGCGCTACAATGGAACCCATTACTCATAAGTCCCCAAATGGTATGCGTTTATACGAACGGACTGGATCGAGACCGGTGAGATCCTGATTAAGGTATACTAGAAACATCTTTACGAACAAATTAGCTTTTGGGCTGGTGAGCTTGGTATTCTGCCACTTTAGTAAGCTGGCAGGCTAATGCCACAATTGCCCCCATCTCGTTGAAACCGTGGCAGGTCTCCAAGTACGTTCATTAATTTGGCCGTACAAGTGCAGTTGAGATAAATACCTGATTAGCGCTGGCTGGCTCTGAGGACTTGTATCAACCCTTGCGAGGATCTACAACATACGTAGACAATCTCGCGCCCTTCATCAGAGCGACTGTGCACCGTGCGGAGATAGCGGATTGGAGCGGAGACCCATGAAAAATAAATACAACTAAATACAACTAAACAGAGAACAAACAACAAAGACAAAGAACACAACATAGCAAGGAAACATCGCAAGTCAGAAAATGGGCAAAAGAAAAAATAGGATACAGGCGGACAAGCGCCGAGAGGAGCACCAAAGTCTGCAGGCAAAAAAGATTATTGTGAAAGATAAACCACAAAATAAAATTAGGAAACTATCTGAGGAGTGATAATCACACCAGCAGAAGGGAAAAGCTACGCTGAAATCTTAAGAAACATTCGTGGAAAAATTACACCAGTGGAAACGGCCATGAAAACTAAGGGTATTCGAAAAAGAAAGGCCAGGCAGTTAATCTAAGCTTCTGTGAGACTCTCAAGAAAACACTGCTAGAAACCGCCACGGTAACAGATGCAAAGTCGAAAGGGACAATAGAATAGAGGAATCCAATAACAAAGAAAGAAGTAAAAGACGCATTAAACAAAGCACTTGGAGAACCCCTAACTGATATCAAAATCAATATCTCCGTACCTTATAGCAGAGAACAGGTGAGAGCCTATATCACTCTGCCAAATCAAAAGGCAGAATTGTTGTTAAAATCCCGCCGTTTTAAAATCGGATGGATTAACTGCAGATTGAGACTGATGGAAACGATTAAAAGATGTTTCTGGTCCGGTATACTTAATATGGGACTGCAAGGTACCGGACAGGAAAGCTCAAAGACTCGGCATAAAGTGTGGCCAAGCAGGGCATAAGATGAAAGACTGCACCAGACCTGATAAATTAATTTAATCATTTAATTTATTTTATTTTAATTAATTTTATGGTATGCAAAAATTAATGCATTACTTTGTTCTGTGTTCAAAAAAGTGTCTTTGATATTGTAGAAAAAAGTCAAAAATGCATCATTCAAGGTGTTGTCCGTCAAAATCATAAGTGGTTTATGTGCCACCTCTTTTTTCGAAACAATCATTGAGCCATTCTTCGATCTCTTCAAAACACTCGGGCTGGCGACTCCGATATTCGGTTTGTATACGTCGCAAATGCCAGCGGATGGGGAAGGACCGCCCATTGCAACGTTTCCTTTTTCACGTAATGCTCAGCTGAAACGCTTTATTTGTGATCAATGACACTTTCCATTAGTGGTGCGGTTGGTTCCACCAGGACGTTAAAATCACCTATTTTGAAGCGTCAAAACCACTCTATGCATGTCGTATCGGTCGGCGCAGATTCACCAAAAACTTCCACAATCCTTGTACGGGCTGCAGTTGCACTTTTATTCAATTTAAAATAGAAATTCAAAATTTCCCACAAATGATGTTTATTTAACACGAAATGAAATTAAATTTAAATTAAAATAATTTAATTAAATTTAAAAAAAAATTAATTAAATTTTTTTTCTTATAATTAAATTTTTTTAAATTTAAATTTCAATTAATATTTTTTAAATATATTCCTCTTTTTCCATTTTATTTTAATTAAAATTTGTTCTTTAATATAATTCTTGTTTTTTTTGTTCTTAATTGTACTTTGTTTAAGGTTATTTTAGTGAATTTTATTTTATTTAAATTTATTTATGTTTAATTTTTTTTCTGAATAAATGTTTTTGTTCAATTTTATTTTTTAATTTAATTTTAAATAACTTTATTGCTTGTTTTTACGCTATTTTGATCTTAATTTTTTTAAATTTTAATTGTCCTTATCTCACTTCATTGAAATTTTTATTTTGTTTTAATTTTATTTAGTATTCTCTGATTTATTTTTTTTTAATTTTTTTTTTAATTATATTTTTTTCAATTTATTTTATGTTAGATTCTTTTATTTAATTTTTTTCTTTTATTTAATTCTATATGATTGGCGCTTTGTAATCGCTGAGTTTTTCGATTTATTGTATAAAGTTTAAGCATTTTTTTATTTTATTTTTTTATAGTAATATATATATTTATTTCGTTCTATTTAATTTATATTAACTTTTCCTTTTATTTTAATTTATTTCCATTTTTATTTTTAATTTTTATTTTATTTTTGAGTTTTGATTTGTTTTTCATTTAATTTAAGATGTAATATTATTGCTTTATATTATTTTAATTAATGTTTATTATTTTTTTTAATTTTATTTTAATTTCACTTTAATTCATTTTTATATTTAATTTTTAAGTTTACTTAATATCTTAAATATATTATATTTTTTATTCCTTTAGCATTATATATGTATATGTTTTATTGGATTTACCTTCATTTTATGCTTCTTTACTTTATATTATCTAAGAATTGAAGACAACTTACAAGGGTTTGTTTATTAGTACAAAAAAAGTTTAAATAGTACTGAAACCTTTGAAGAACTTGTGGAAGTTCCCCACAGCTGAATACTTCACGTCTATACTGGCTTAAGCACAGATTAGTACACGATTAGCTTGTTGTTCGTGGAAAAATGAGATTGACTATTTAACAGCCAGTACATGTTATAAAATTTTATTCCAAGGGCTTTTCTCTCTTCCAAACTGTGTGCGTACTTAGCAGTGTCACTTTGGCGGCTAGGGATGTTGTTTAATTTTTATTTCGGCGCATATGAATGTCGCTCACTGCTGTGTACGTCACACGAGAGGACTTTGTCTCGTTAACCTTCAAGTGCCTTCGCGTCAACAAGTCGGAAATTCGGTGATTTCGGCGATTTCAAGTTTTGAAGATGCATCTATGGCATTGTGGGCAGTTGAGATAATATCGGGTTCACCAGCAAAAGTTCCAGTTAGGTCAACATTATGTCAAAAAACATGTTTATTCGCGCTAAAAGTTTGTCTTTGACAGTTTTTCGATTGATGGACTCAGTATGTTGTGGGCGCTCGTCAAAGATGGACATCAGCAGATTTTTTATCGTAAGTCATTGTATAGAAAATATTATCTAGTAGAGATTTTTTTTTTTTTGAATGTCATCCACGGAGAAAGCCGCAATCACTGTAGCAGTGAAGCGCCTTTTTTTCGCGCCGTTGGAGATCGACTATAACTTAAAAACTATTTAATTCTTTTTTTTCAAAAATTTCACTATATATTCTTGGAACATATGTAAATATATTCTTAAAATTTTGAAATAATTGATAAAGTATTTTTTTTTTTAATAAAAATTCCCAAAAATCACCTTTTTTTAGGCCATTACACAAGGTGTGCCTTTTAAATGTTTTTAAAATCATTTTATTTTATTTGATGTGCCTACCTCTTACCTTAATTTTATATTATTTTTTTTCAAAATTTTTTTTCGAAAACTTGCTTAGTCATATTCGCAAAGTGTTAAACAATTATGTTTGTTTAATAAAAAATCTTAATTTCTTTAATTCATTTTATTATCTTTAATTCACTTCTGCTTCCAGTGGAATTCCCATGTGTGTTTATATGTGTTAAAAAAGAAATTTTTACTGTTATTAGGGCACGTTTCATGAAGAAATTTATAAGCTCATATATGTGTGAAAGTTTGGCTTTGCCAGACTATCCGGTTTGTGAGAGCTATTTTTAAAATTTTAGAATAAAAATTTCGTCATCCCTTTGTTGTTGGATATTTTGCAAATTTTTTTAAAGTTTAATACCAAATTTATACAGATAATCATGACTGTAGCTCAGTACCATGCTGCTGCAGGGTCTAGTCATGCGCCAACACCTTTAAATGCGAGCCC